AGACCGTCAGCCCTTCCAGAACCCATGCGGTGTGCCATGTGCACGTGGGGCTCGACCAGGCTCCTGTCGGACGAAGAAGAAGAGAACACGGGAAGTGCAATGTAATTAGTACTTACTGTAGTGCAATATTTACTGTAGCGTGAGCTGTCGTGCATCCTTTGAAAGTCGTCGTGTGCGGTTGGCTCCTTCTTTCTGTCACACCGACTCAGACGTGGACGGCCACCATGTCGGCCTTCCTCTCCAGGCACATTGAAAAATGAGCATGTTTCTGTGTGCTGTATACCAACCTCGCAGTTTCTTCAACAGTCCTTCCCTCTAATGCCCCCATGGTGGGCCAAAGCAAGATAAAACAAGCTCCTCCTGGTCCAAAAAAAGCTCGGAGACAGAGAGAGGGAGAGGGCGCCCGCGGGTCTTGAGGTTCCCCTGGGAAAAGTGTCCAAAAAATCTTATTAGCTGTGTGAGTTGAGACGAGGAATGAATCAGCTGCAGGCATGGGGCTGCCCACGAGTGGGTCGCGGATGGAGAGGTCTTGGAGGCCCCCTCCAGCCTTGATGTCGTCATTTCCAAAGGGTCCAAGTCCTGGCTTTCAGGCCGACAAGCCCGTCCTGGTGTCAGCTTTGAGTTCAATTCCCTACTGCCAGGCGCAGTATGGACAGTTCGTGTGTTTCAATGTGCGGCGGGTCTTCTTACGGGGAGCATGGCAGGTTGAGAGATACTGTGGCCTTGTCACTGTCCACATGATCAAAGAGTGCCTGGCCTTGTGTGCTAACCGGTGACTACTTCGATTCCGATCTCGGAACTGCCCTGCCCCAGGACCGTGAATGTGACCCGCCAGTTTGAGTCACTACAGGCGCCGTCTGAACTTCGGCACCTTCTCAGCTCATATCTCGGTGCGGCAGGTGTTTTACCACCAATTTGTTGCAGAAGCGCTTCTGACAGCAAAAGCTCACGTTCTGGCGGTGGGCTTGCAACTCAGACTTCAGACTGTGACAGCAAGTAGGTCGAAACCTTGCTGCTGAAGGCAAGTAGCATTGTACGATCATTCTGACCATCTGCACGCACCTTCACTGAGGCGGTGATGCCTTGCTTGGCTATCGCATCAATAACCTTTTCCTTCGTGAGGCCAGGCTAGTGCACTGTCGGAGCTTGAGGAAGGGAGGCATTTCATCTGGCAGTGTCCCAGAAACGACTGTCCCTTCCGGCTTGCTTTGAGGTCTTGGCCATCCTATACTACCCTTTACAGTAATGATTACTCGGTGTGGGGCTGTGCCAACCAGGACAAGCGGCGGGCGTACGCCGTGATTTCGATCTCGGGGGATGCAGCAAAGCTTTGGATGGAGTGAAGGCTCCAACAGACAAGGGCAGTCCCGGTGGCAAAACGGAGCAACCGAATTCAACACAGCTGACTTGAGGACCTGCACAGAAGCTGTAGAATCTGTAGAAAGGCTTGTCGCTTTCCCTGCACGTGTTCGTGGCCAAAGACAGCCCGAGCTTGTCTCACTCCATGTGGATGCTGCATGTGATGCACGCAAAAAAAGATGCAGCCGCACATGCCAAAGCCTGCTACTAGCGCCCGCACCATGTCTAGTCACTCTAGTCGGTTCCTGCCGTGAGCCGAACATCACCGCCTCTGCATAGCACTGAGCAAAGCTGTAACGAAGTTGGTGCGAAGACTTTGCACGCCTTCCGAGGTTTCAGCTCGAGTTCGGGAGTTGAAGCGCATAGACGAAGAGAACCATCGCCTCCTCAAAAGGCTACAGAGTGCCTCGCTTGAGTTCAGCAGCTCGCAGATTCTCGCAGGGCGAAGTCTTTCGAGTTGTGGAAAGGTGGCTGATCGCTCAGGTACGAAAGCAGCCGTGAACATGTCAAAGTTTGATCAGGAGCACAAGGCCGCGTTTTACCTGAGGTCTTTGTGCAGAGACTTAGGTACAACCGGCCGCACTAGCTACTGGTGATCAGGGCAGTGGCAGTTTCGCAGGTCCAGCAGCGCTACATGAAAATGCGCTGTGAGCATCAAAAGGCCACCACTGGTGGGAGTGAAGTTGACCCACCTGGAACCCTTGTCACCTTGTCTACTTTAGCTTGCCTTGTTCCGTGGCAAGACTGCAAGGAGGACTGGCTGATGGTGCTGCTGACATATCTTCATTGCTCGTTGGCGCTCGCTATCTCCAGGTGCATGCTCTGTGTCAGTCTGCGCCAGGAGCGGGCGCATGAGCAATCCATGCTCGCTGCACAGATGGCAGCAACTTGCCTGCAGTTTGTGTTCCATTGGCACCCTGATTTTTGGGGATGTCCTTTGCCCGGTAAGGTTCGCGCAGCATCCAAAGCAGTGGCCGGACCGGCCACGGCCTCCGCCAGGGCTGCTTGTTGCAAAGTTCTTGCTCGGACTCAGACTCGTCGATTAAGATGCAGCATCACGTAGACTTGACAAGCTAAACTCGGGCCTCGAACTCCTCGACAAGTCCAGCCTGCGGGCGTGCTGTGCACGAGTTCTGGGCTGGCTACTGTAGTGAAGCTGATGGGCATGAGTTGGATGTGAGGGCCTTGTTCTGCCAGACAGGATGATCGCACTGGGTGAGGTTCACATTCCACGGGAGTACATAGACATAGGAGAAGGATCGGGTCTTTCATCTTGGGATTTTCAATCTCGCATAGACTCTCTCAGATGGTTCGAGTTTGTCACGGTTTAAGCCTCCTGGCTCCCTTCGGTTCGCCATTCTCTTCCGGCGCCCTCGAGAGTTTATGTTTGAAGTGTCGCTCTGGTGAGTAGCTAGGCCGACAAAACTGGAGTCCATCTGCATTTTGCAGAAACGAACCCCTTCACCTTCACTGACCTTCACGCCTTCTGTGCGCGATAGGCCCCATTCATTGCTGCACGAGCGGAGGTTTCAAAGGAGCCTCCTGGCCCCACAGATGCTGAGTGTGCTCAGCTCAGCATCTGAAACTTCCGTGGGGGGATGGGCTGGGAAGCCACTGCTCAGAGACAGGTATCCGCCTGCTGCATTTGCAGGCCGGTCAGTCAGTGTGTGCTGAGTCTCAGATTGGAAGAGGCGACTGAAAGAGCAGCTTGCGATTCAAGCCATCTCGGCTCGGTGTGCTCCCAGAGCACGGCCACCCGGCCGCCCGGCCATGGGCCATCCCCGGGGTAGGCAGGTTTGTCCCAGTTGGAAGCTGTCACCGCGGCCTCCCTCCACAGTACGCAGGGGCCAGCGAAGGCAGGCCGAGACCCAAAGAGCGCCGGAGCCGCAGCCAAAGGAGCCAAAGGCCAAGGCGGCCAAGAGAAAGCACCGGGTGCTTTGGTGGCAGCCAGAACTCTTGGCCTCCTGCAGCGCCGTTCTGTTTTGGACCGGACAGCCTCGTCCATTCAGGATGCAGGTCGGGCCGAATCATCGCAGCGATCTCGACGAGGCAGATCGGATCTGGTGCATCAGCTAGTTTGAACGTAAGGGGCCCTTCTGGTGAAACTGCAGGGCCCCCCGACCATCCTTCATAGAGCATGTCTCGGTTTTCCACCCCGCCTCTCCCTCCCCACCGCTACCCCCTAGAGCACGGGTAAGGCACCGCTCGAGCAAGATCAGATGCACTAAGGCGCAAAGCGTAAGGCTGATCACCAACAGCCTGACGATGCGGGTTGCCTGGATGAAAGTGAGGAGTGCCGACAAAGCCCAAGGTCTGCTTGACTGTGCCAGGCAGTTCTTGGAATGGGGCTCGGACTGCAATCGGATGGTTCATGAAGACCGGCACGTGCCAGGAGATGTGGGGGGATGTGGATGTGGAAGACGTAGATGACTCAGAGAACGAGGATTCTTCGGACCAAGAGGCAGAGCTTGCAACTACTGGTGAACCAGCGGCTTCGCATCGTAAGAGTTGGACATGTGTGCAGGCTGGCTTCCATGGACGCCGTGATGCAGGCATTGAGGGCCAGCAGCGTGATCGGTCTGCCTGCCAAATTTGGCAGGCGGCAATGGAACATCCGAGTCCGATCGGGTGTACCAGCAGCTTCTACGACAAGGAGCTGAGCCGGCAGTCATCGGCCAGAAACGCAAAGCACTTTGGCAGTCTGGAGACAATCCTGCTTGATCTGTTGCACGCTACCTTGTCTTCCGTGTTCGGGAAACTGAGGCCTCAAGCAACCAAGACGAAGTTGAGATGGAGCTGTTTACACCTGATGCAGCCAAGAAGGCACGACTCATTCCTGACGAGGCCAGGGAAACTCAGCCGGGCTGGCATCGCGACAGATGCAACGTGCTTCCTCTTGCAGGGTCGCCGTCCCATGAGGATGGGAATGGGCGGAATGGGAATTCCATCGTTCAGCATCCTGCCGGCAGATGTTGTCTTTGCCTCTGGCTCCTGGCTTTAGCCGCTTCAGCCTCGCTTCAGCCTCAGGCTCGTTCTTCTTCTGACCTGGCCTTGGCTGGGCACGCGTGTGTCGGAAGTCGGGGCTGCTAGAGCTGTACAGAGCCCTGCCCTGCCCTGCCCAATCAACTTCGGCTTCACCCATGTACGAAGTACAACGGCACCGGTGCAAGGGACATCCAGCTGCAGATGTAGATGCGACAGCTCCTTACGAACAGTTCCCCATGCTTCAGCGATGAAGTTTCGCACGACATGTCAACCATGGAGTTGCATCCATTTGCGAGCAGATGTTTCTTGCGTGCCAGCGTTTCACAAAAAGACGATGCCTCAATATGCCGCACGACTCGGCTGTGCAAATTTCAGGTATGGCATAACATAAAATAGCCATTCAGCATGTTGTGCGCCTCAGCCCAACCGCGTGCACATTTCGCATCTGAAATTCATAGAGTGAGGGGCCGCGAATCCGGTTCATGCTGATCAGGGCATGATGATAGATTTCCGGCTGTCATTAGGAACGTTGACATCTGTCTGAGTAGCTGGTCTGTTTACGTCAGAGACCAAGAAGTGAGGACGTCAAAGGGAGGAAAAGCTGTGCCTTTGGCATCCTGTGGCTGATGCACATCGAGCCTGAAGCAGAAGTAGCAATGATGATTGGAGGATCGGTTCCGATCCAGGGCAGAAGCCGACGAGGACGTGCCCCGTGGCCCTTCCCAACATTTCCCAACCTCCCTGCAGCTGCGCCGGTCCAGGACCTGAGCCCCATGGACTCAGAGGAGGTCGCGGCCTCAGATTCCCTGTGGGCCAAGTACTTCGGAGTAGCAACATTGCTCATCCTGGCTCATGACTCGGGCTGCGCGGAAGGCACGCAAGGAACTTCAAGGCAGCGCCAGTCCAGCAAGCGACGGGGCTGCTGCCTCAGCCGACGCCGTCTTTAGACGCCTTTCGAAAGCATAGTCTGAGGCTGCTGAAGAAGGCCGGTGCCTTGGGGAAAGAGGAAAGCGAGGCTCCTTCGTTGGCTCATGCGGCGCAGCTGCTGAAGGCAACTGTGAAGGCCAAGCTCGCAATGGACCTCGTCAGAAGCCCCGGCTCATAGCCACAGCCTGAACCTGCCTCTGCTGACTTGATCTTGGACGCGGACAGACAGTCTGGCCGGCGACCGAGGGCGAGTATGCTGGCCACCTGCCTGACAGCTCCCACAATTTGGTCGAGCAGCTGATGGCAGCTTGCCCGCAGCGGCTGTTCATAGCACAGTGATAAGTCGCGCGCGCGCGCGTGCCCTAGCCTGCGAGGGGTGGCTATGATTGCCCGGTCATGTGCGACAATTGCAGATGCACTTGCCCAAACAAGCGTTGCAACCGCTAGGTCTTCCGTTTTCGCTCAAAACGGCTCAGCCCCTGAGAAGTTGTTCGAAAAGTGCGTGCGATCCAACCAGTGCTGAAGCAACGCCTGTCTTTGGGGCGGCCAATGATCTTCCTTGGACCGGTTGCCACAGACCGCGACTGGGCAATGCGGAAGCCCTTGCCAACCCTGGGCCCCAGGTGCAGAACTAGGGAAGGAGTTTCTTGAAACAGCATACCTCAATATGGCGCATCGGGAGTTTGCAGGAGAACAGACGAGAGAGAAGAGAGAAAGCATTGCGGTCGTCCGGACCTCCGAACAGAGCATGTTGTTTAGCCAACGCCAAGGGGAGCAGCAACCGTTCTATGGGGCGCGAGGCCCATTTAGAGTTGAGGGGGATCAGCAGAGCACGACGTGTCACACAGAGACGAGGGACCAGGGCGCATGATTGCGCGAGCCGTGTGCGCTGCGCTGTGACTGCACGGCAGAGCGACGACGTCCAGGGACTTCGGGTTCCATGCCCTTGGCACGCAAACAAGCAAACAAACGAGTGCGCAGCTATTTGCGGGGGTAGCGTGCTACCCGCTGCACCCTTTGGCAAGCAAGAGAGCAAGAGAGAGAGAGCAAGAGAGAATGCGAGAGTTGCAGTGGATCCAATACACGGCTGGAAAATGTCGAGGAGTAGGGACCCCTATCCGGACGTGTATCGCAGCAGGCACAGTATGCCCAGCTCCAGGAGCAGGCCTGCGCAGCCCACATCTTGCAAGATGTGTCTAGCCGCTAGACGCCTTCTTGTAGCCGCTGATTCGGACTTGTCGCGGCTAGCATCTGGTTTGGCGATAAGCCTGAAGCAGGTGCAGCCTACAGCATCCATCGCGCTGTAGGTCAACTTAGTCAGCTCAGCGAAAATGTTCAACTGTGTGAGGAGGAGGAGGACACGGAGGCAGCTGCCGAGGAGGCGAAAGCCGCAGCGGCTGCAGCATTCCGAAAGGCACCGGGAATTTCGGTCGGGGAATGGTTGTGCAACTGTGTCCGACATATTAGTCGCCGGTTGACTGACTTCAAAGACTTAGCATTGCAGTGGTGTCCTATCGCACGAGTACCCAGGATTCCCAGCATCCACCAGGGCAAGAGATGCTAGCCGCGGTGTCCGCCAGGCGGAGGCTTTGGATGTGGCCAGCGACGCCGCTGTCCTATTTCGGCCACGTGCTGAAGGTGACAGACAGTGCATGTATATGATCAGGATGCGATGCTGAACTACGAGAAGGCCGCTGGGTGTCCCATGGGGCAGCTTGCCGTGGCGGTGCACGCATGCCTAGGTTGTCAGGAGCCGGCTCAACAGGGAAGCTGCCTCGTTCCCAGCATCGGTCATACTGCAGAATAGGCCTCGTCGTCCTTTGTGCAGTTACGACGTGTCGAAGGCATACCGTGCACACTGCGCAGTGTCCTGGCCGAGGCATCTCTGGTCTGTGTTGAAGATCTAGACTCCTTTGTGGATCCTGCTCCATAGTGCACGTGTTTCACACCGAATGCAAAAAGAAATCCATGCCCCATGCCATCTGTACAGTGGAGCTTAGCTCCGAGCGTGTGGAATGAACGTTGCAAGTGCCAGTTGCTTTGAGCTCGTTGAAAGCATCTACAAGAATCTCATCTTAAGTGCAGCAGGTGACTACTGCCTTTGTGCACGCTGCGCTTGTGCATTTTTCATTTTAGTAGTCGACGTGCCAATGTGCTGAAAAGAGACGGTCTGTGTCATAGTCCAGTGTGGAACAGCATGTCAGAATCGGTGTTGCCAGGCTACAGTGAAAGCCCCTTGCTACAGGCATATTTCGACGGATGATGCCGCAGACATTCAGGTGTTGCCATAGAGATGCCAAACCCCTTAGTTTACATTGATGAAGCCTTGCTCCCCGGTTCTCGCCAGACTGCGAGCAGCAGGCCTCAGAATCTTGCGTCGTTTCTTCGGGCAACCTTTCATCGAGTGCTCAAGGAATCAAGTGAATATCAAGACTAGCTCAGGCTCGGTGAAAGCATGGCAGCTGAAGGGCGTGGACTTGAAGTGCCAAACGAAGCCTAGCGAGCACTGGGCATGCGCATCGGCGCATCGCAAACTTGGACTTGAGCATCTTGAGCTTGAGCTGCCCTCCGCTTCACGGCTGCCGAGGATCTCTGGTGACCACCTACAAGGCGTTTGGACCTGCAAGGGGCGAGTTGGTAGGCTTGCACAAAGTCACACCTCGCTCACGTGAAGGAGATGTGCGATGATGTGTTTTGATCTCGCAACATCGGGTCTACGATCGAGTAAGACCACACTACTCCTGTGGTCTTGGTTGCTGCAGCCGAAGACCATGCGCCGGAAGAGAGGCGTTAAGGCGGCATAATGCAAGGTATCCAACACAACGACCGAGCCCTCTAGGGGGAACTGCCTCTCCACATGGGAGAACCAATTACGTGTCACGGAACGCCTAAGCGATCGGCGCCCCGAGATTTCGCGATACGGCAGTCCCTCTGCGCATTGCAGAGACGAACCACTCCGAGCCTTCCAGAGGAAGACCGCTTGGTGCACCTCGAAGCTGATTTCTCGAAAAACGTGGAGCAGGGTGCAACCGGGTGCAAGGACAGCCGCAGCCTGGCAGAGCCCAGAGCCAGAGCAGGGTTGAGAGCCAGTGCCGAAAAAGCGGCAGCAACAAAACCGTTCTCAGAATTCAGCAAGCACTCGCTACCGGGGTAGGAGCTGGTGGGCCCTCAGCATACCTAATGGGTGGCGATATGTAGGCACATATCGGCGTATAACTGGGTATCGTGTCGTCCTAGACTTGATTGAGCCTCGAGTTCGGGCTCGCAGGTGCCTACTTCACACCTTCACGTGGCTCTCGGCTGAGGACTCCAGACTCAGAATGATCAGGAATTCCCTTGTATCCCATAGCAGCGAAGTGAGGAACCAAGAGGAACGGACTAGGCATGCACCACTGGATCACGGCAGGACTGTGGCTGCAGTGAAGCGGCAGGGATTGGAGTGGACGTTTGCACAGTCGCTGCCACAGAGTCTTGGCTGTGGAAAGGCACGTCGAAGCACGATTTACATCTGCCGTTGGCCACCCTGCACGGCAGAGCTTCGTGAACTCAGGCTCCCCGCCCCTCCCACGGAGACGGTGGATGCCCTCCAGGACATCACACCGAGAGCCGAGGAGGAGGAAGGGGAGGAGCCCCAGGCCGACTGCCGTATTGTCGGAGTATGTATATCGCTTTATAAATGCTAAGATGTGCGCCGTGGCCGTTTCTGTGTGATGGGATTCTCTTGGAGAGCACGCTGACATGCTTTACCACCAGGTCGACCAACTGCAAGAGGTGCTGCCCAAGGTGCAATTCGTGGCAGACGAGTTCTTCGGATCAGTTTCAAGCAATCTGGATCTGCTCTTCAGGGGCCTTGCTGTCTGCATCCCCTGCTGTCCAGACTGTGCCTTTTTGATTTGGCAGGTCCATCGTCGCCGCGATCGGAAGCTGGCTTCTCGCATGCATGTGCATGGTGTCACCTCTGAATGCTGGGGGTGATGGGTTCGAGAAGAACATGGTGAGGCAAACTATTCAGGTCACCGGTTGCGGCTGTCAGACTCAAGTCGCTGTTTTCTGGCTTCACCCGGGAGTCGCAGTGGTGAGTCTCTTCGTTTGGTCAGCGTCCGCATTCGTTGAAAGGCCACTATGCCAGCACGCATGGGGCCGAAGGAAGAGCTCCATAGCTGCAGAGTTCATGCTCCCTGGGCCTTGGGGTGCATGCAGCAGTAGACATCGAACCAGGGGCGGCGATCACGTGCCTAGGCTGTCCAGCGCACGGTTGAGTGACGGCAAGGGCAAGGAGCGAGTACTCGCGCGGCTGCTCGAAAACGAGCTTTCAAACCCTGTCCGTTGACAGGATAGAGCTACGGAGACTCTTGCAGAGCTGCGGGAGTCGGTCCTGAAGTCTGTGTCTCAGAACCGAACAGCTCAGCTTTTCGCCCGGTTCGAAGATCGAGCGCAGGCTGCCCCTGCCGAGACCAATAACAGTGAATGCCGCGGGGGAGCCAGATTTGCCGGTCGCTGGGCTGCAAATGGTTTTGCTGCTTGTAGCTTCGTGCTCCAGAGAAGCGGAGAAGTCGAGGTTGTTATGCGCAAAAAGAAGAAGACTGCCACTCTGAAGCACCGAGTCGAACCCATGTGTCGTTGTTGCCTTCCAGGGTCGATGGATCACAGCAAACGGCAAAGCCACAGAGGGCAATGCAGAGACGTGCGTGTTGACAATCCTAGCCTCGCTGTGGAGCGGCTGCCCTGAGGCCACGATGCCGGATGTGAAGGTTCCGCCGTTGGTGTCACGGCCTGGTAGCAAGGTGAGCGTCATCGGGTGACATTTGTACTGGGCGATGCACGAGAATCGCACGCATGCGCTTTTCCTACTTGAACCGGTCCGGTAGGTAGACCGTGAGTGTCTGAAACAAAGGCGCTGTGCCGTCTTCTCAAAGTCACAAATCCAGCCGGAAAGAAGCTTCGAAGAAGCTCCAAGTTCTGTGTATGCTGCAGGGGTTGGCTTGGGAAGGCCACAAAATTCGGGGAGCATGATTGCATGCGCGCCGCATGTCGCCAATGGTGCCGGACTCAGTGATTCGGATCCAGGGACCGCTGAAGGCGGTTTCAGGGACAGCGGAAGGCGTGTTTATGAACGGCGTGTTGTCTGCTCGGCTAGGATCAGGGACTGCAAGGGAAGGCAAAACTTCGGCTTAACAGCGATTCCCTGAAGCCGAAAGAGCTTGGCTCAAGGATGCTCAGCAGCCTCAGCAGTTGCTGCAGATCCCGGCAATGGCAGCTGCATTCCCGTCCGAGCTTGCTGGGGTTCCGGCCGCCATGGTCATGCGTGACATGGTAGCGCGAGGTCAGATGCCTGACTCTCATCGCTGCCTTCGGCTGGTGTCGAAGCTAGGGACGGGCCTCTCGGCCGTAACAGCCGACGGTGTAGCTGAGGCTGCCGCCCGAATGTTTTCCGCGCTTGGGTGGATGGAAAGTCTATGTCTGACCTGGCCGGACATGGAAGTCGGCCGCACCTGCAGTTCGATGGTCTCCATTTTCCATCGCCGTGGCTTCACGGACCTAGCACTTCGGGCAGTCACCTGGCTGCGCCAAAGGCGCTACGAGATACCGATCTGCACGCTTGCCATGGCGATGGATGTCTGTCTTCAAGACGAACGCCTGCCGGAGGCGAAGGAACTCTTCAAGGAGGCTCAGGTGTTGCTGACACAGATCCTCACAGCACCAGCGGAGATCACCTTTCGTCCGCGTGGGTACTATGTCGAGTCGGGCCGATGCGACGTGGCCGAAGTTGAGAGGAGGCATGCCGATGACGACGAGGATGAAACCGGCATAAGTGGCTCCAACGGTGGAGCCAACGATTCACCATCACTCTCCGCCAAGGAAAGCCCTGCAGATTTTCCGACGGACAAGACCACTCTGTGCACGGACGGGCTGCCAAATTGGCTCAGTTCTCGGGAAGGTCACCTCATGGCACTCATCGCGGGCCACGTCGCTGTCCTAAATCGCCTCGCACCAGTGGAACCCAGCCACTGGCAGGACGAGGAGCCGGCAGTAGATAGTCGACTCGACTGTCTCTCGGTTTTGTATGAGGAGGCTAAGCTCGTACAAGTATGTATATCCGACATGCAGGACTCGGTGAGCCAGCAGCCATCCCGGTCCCATGTCTCCGAGCTTGACTGGATCAAGGAGGTCTTGGAACATGGGTTGGAATTACTCGAGCCGCTGGCCCAGTTGGTGCCTTTCTGAAGTGTTCACAGTCTTCAGTCTGTTTTGGGGACTGCTTCTGTTGATTCGCTGGTTGTCAGGTCGCTCTGCAGGGAGGTGCAGGAGCTGGGCGCGGCTGCAGGAAGGTCCGTCCTCGTGGGACCGTTGGAAACCTTAGGCCGGGATCATGTGCAAAGTATCCCTGGCACAGAGCAGTCATGTTGCTACTGGACTGAGTCGAGAACGCGTCCCAGAACGCCTCGAATCCCACTCGGAAACAGGCAGACAACATCTCGAAGTCGTTGCCATTCACATCTTAGTGTTCGCGGTGTCATGTTTCAAGCACAGGGCCAGCCCAGATTATGTGGTTCAGTGCTCAGGCCCAGGCCCCAGCCTGTTTGTTTGTCAGGCCAGCGCTGGCGCTTGGCGCAGTTGCATCTTCTTTTGCCGGTGGCGCGCCTCGCCCAGAAGCTGGAACCCTCCGCGGATGCCGAGAAGCTCAGGGAGCTCGTCCACTCCCGAGGCTTCGAACCCTCGCAGCTTGCCAGGAGAGGACTCAAGGAATGCGATTCTGGCTCAGAGGACAGAGGTGAAAAAAGAATCAAGAATTTGGAGCAGCCCGGGCCACCGCCAGACGAGGATACAGCTGATGCCATGCAGACACTGATGAATTTGACAATCAAACTGCATGGCCAGCGGCGGCCGTCTAGAGAAGATGTTGATGAAATCTTGCGGACAATGGGAAGGCGCAAGGGACGGCGCGCAGGTCTAGTGCAAGAGACCTTTCGTCTAGCCAACAGCCTGGCCACTCATGGACTTGAAGTGCTTCGCGCATCCAGCGAGGAGGATCAGGCTTTTCTTGCTGAAGCAAGAGACACTCAACTTCAACAGGAGGTGGACACGCTTGCCTCGGCTGCCAACAAACTGTTCTTCCGCCACTTGACTCCCGATACGGAGTCGTGTGCGGCAGTCATCGAAGCTCTGTTTGCTTGCGGCGCCGCGCCTGCTGCAGAAAGCGTGCTGCTTAGGTGCCAGTCGGCATTTCCGCCCAACCCTGCTCTATACAGTGCTGTCATATTCGGTCGATTGTATTCTGGAGATGGACAGGGGGCTGTCAACGCGATTCTGGAGATGGACAGGGCAGGCTTCGCGCCGCATCAGCGCTTCATTCTACGGTGCCTGCGTTACATGGGCCCCTTCCACAGAGAAGGCTTGTTGCTGATAGACCGTCTTGGATTCCCTATGATGCAGCAAAAGATGCTGCACATCCTGATGGAAACTTGCATATCTTCGCCGCAGCCCAGCGCCTGCGTGTTGGACGTATACCACAGCTTGCTTGAGAAGGGCTACCGTCCAACTCCCGACACACACTTCGCTTTGCTGAAAGCCCTCTGCGGCATCAGTGATGCCGCGTGTGCCATCGATGAACTCCATAAAATGCAGACGAAGTGCATTTTGCCTGAGTTCATTGGTTTCGATCTTCTTCTTCTGGACTGCTTTGGGTTGGCGGCAAGTGCTCGACGTGCAAGTCAGGTTATCGAAGCTAGGCGCCAGTGGGTGCTGGAAGTGTCAGGTGCGCTCCTGTCGGAGCCAACCGACCATGTGCATCTGATATGCCAAGAGCTGCAAAGAAGACATGCAGACTCCGACGGCTCGTTGGAAGCGAAGTTCAGGGCGACTAGAGAGGAGCAGGAAGCAGCTATTGATGCATTGCCGCTGCCTGATCCTGATGAGGACGAAGAGGTAGATGCGACAGAAAGCATGCCAAGAAAGCAGCTCTGCTGCACGAATCTGGGGAGGGCTTCCCCGCCTTCGGTTGCCTCAAATAGATCGCTGGCCGGGGTCTACTAGTCACGTCGTGGCTCTGACCCGGAAGTAGTCTCGTACACGTGTGCACGCATGCAAGCATGAACTTCTGGGACTCGCAGGGCTTCGGATGAAGTTGCAGATCAAGACCCCGAAGCTGAGTGCTGGTTTGGCCCACGCCACAAATATACCTGGGTGTTGGATGCCTACTGCGAAACTTGGCTCTAAACTTGCCGGTACACAAGCTGAGATATCGAAGATCTTGCCAACCTATCGAATCTATTTTAAACCAGCCTGAGATGTTTCAGATTGTTGCAGCGAACTATGAGTTGAATGTCCCCTACATCCGCTGAGAACATCTTTGAGCCGGGTGGGTTTGTTTTTGCTTTGCATTCAGGGACAGGTCATGGGGCAGGGCCACGCAATGCCAAGCATGAAACATCGACTCTGTTGAGTCGAGTACTTGCCATAGTGCACCATGTTGGAGCATGTATGGTTCGGTTGCATGCACGTGCTTCCCGGCTCAGCCACAGCCGAGAAGCCACAGCGGCCACGAGTGACCCGTAATGCAAGTGCACCATTGAATGTCCTGGGTTTCTCAGTCGAGGCGGCTTTGCCCTTGCGACTGGCAGCGCTCAAAGCTTCTCATTACCTGGTCTTTCGCTACAGCCTGGTGCGATCTGGTGCACAAAAGGCGGCATTGCAAGAAGAGATAGACAGAGGCATGTCGCGGGACTACGCTGAGTTGGCTTCTTGTTGGCATCTGGCGGTGGTGAGCCCGGGGGCCTCCCTGGCGGCTAGTTTTGCGTCCTACTGAGGCACTGGAGTTACACCAGAAGCTCGAGCTGGATGCCTGGAACTTCGAGGAGCATCTTCGACTAGGCTCGGGCATTCTGGCGCATGTTTCGAAGGAATCATTCAGGTTCAAGCGTCTCGTCTGTCTCCGCGCCGTACGCACTGGTGGACTGAAACTAGAAGTACTCGTACTCAATGCTTCAGATTGCTGATCATTGCAGGTGGCAGGGCTGGGTCAGTTGGAAGTTCTCTTGCGCAAACGTGTCGTAAATCCTTGTAATGCTTCGCTTGCCCGCTTCCCTGGCTTCAGTTTGCAGGTCATGCAGGCACAGGTGTGCTGGAAGAGGGCTGCTGGCAGCCTATGTCTTTCATCCTGCTCATCCTGATGCACTTGGACCAGCTGGAGGCGGGGTGAGACCGTAGACGCTGCGGTTGGTTGCGGTAGTGAATTTTCAGTCACTTCCAGTTTGGGGCGCTGCTGAACGCACAAAGGTCGTCGAGGGCACACAAACTCGCCTTCTTCGCATGCTTTTCCGCTCCCTTCCAGTGGGGGCACGCCGCCTGTCGGAGGTGCATGCAGATTTCCTTCAGAAGCTTGGCATAATCCGAAGGCGCAACTTTCACATTGGAAATCTCTGAAGGGTCGTCTGTCACGCAAGTATTGTGGCACAGCCGACAGCGGCACCCGGAAATAAGCCTGGAGAGCACATGTCGTGGAAAGCAGGTTTCAATAGGACGAACCGACACAGCAATTGACTGCATCTCGATAGGTGTCTTGAGAAACACTTGGCGCCACCGGGGATTCACAAGAGCCCGGATACCGGGTGCAATGAGGGTCACAGCATCGAGGAGATTCTAAGCTGGCCGTGAGCTCAGCCAAGCAAAGCGCGCGAAGACATGGGAGAACGCAGAATGGTTTCGAAATGTTTTCCACCAGGAACACTGTCCCAAGTTTCGCCTGACCTTGTCGAGTGCGAGTGACAAACAATGTTGAAGATTTAGAATGAGTCACCCTGCAAGCTGATGCGCTTTTTTGCAAGTCCCCCGAGCGGTGCTGTGGTGAGCATCGAGAAGACCAGCACAAAGACTAGTGACTTGTTTCCCACAGCCTCTGGTCTGAGATCTCGGAGTGCCGGTGGAATGTAGTTTTCAGGGGCTTCCATTGCGTCTGTTTAAGCTCCCCTCCTTACATTCGCGGTCAGTTGAGGAGGAGAGCTGGCCAGCTCTCTCCGGCAGTCTTGACAGAGCTCATCCGCGCTTGTAGCGTTTGTGACGGGGGCCACAGCCCCTTTGGCAGCGATCAGGGCCGCCGAATGCTTGCAGACACCGTGAGGCCAGGTAAGTTTCACGGTTTTCATTCGGGATATCAGCGCTTCGTTTTGAATTTCAGGGATGTTTCGTCATGAGGGAAGGTCACGATTTCAGTAACCTCAGGCTTAAGTCTAAAGTAATGCCAAGACTGCTAAGAATTCTACAGTAGACTCGGCTTTGTGCGCTCGCCGGTTTTGATATCAAAAGTGACAGGGATCATTACCTGAAGCGGGCCCCGGGCGGGGAGCCCATCAAGCTGAGCACTTCACTACGCTTCGTGCGAACGCATGAACTCGCAGATCTCATCGCAGATGATGTGCTGTTCATTCCGGTTCTGTGTTCGTTACAGGACGGCCAACCTCAGTATGCTTACAATTTGTGTGAGGGTGACCAACAGCTGCAGCTCCGTCTTGTGTCTTATGCTATCTGCAAGGGAAAGCGATTGGCAGCCGGCCGCTTAACGGAGCGATTCGGCTTGCTAGACCACATGGATGGCATCACAGAGATACCGGGCTGGTCGGATGCACAGGGCCCCTTCAAAGAAGTCTGCACTGCTTGTGTGCGGGAGGCGGAAGAGGCGGAGGAGAAAGAACTCAGAGCTGCCAGTGACCGGAAGATGGCCGCTGCGGCTGAAGAAGATGCAATCTGCCTGCAGCTGCCAGAAGCGGTGGCCGCGAATGTTGTCCTTGTGTCCACAGAGGCAGACCTGCTGCACATCCGTGCTCGCTTGATGGCTTTGGCTGATGTATCGCAGCCGGGCGAGCCTAGCGTGGATGATCTGATCCATCGTTCTGGCAGTTGTATCGGCCTGGACACAGAGTGGAAGCCATTTCTAGAGAAGCGTGGAGGAATGCAGAAGCATCGGAGGAGCAATCAGTCTGTAGCATCTATGGAACCGTGCTCGACTCTCCAACTAGCTGCCGAGGATTTCATCGTGATTTTCGACCTTTTGGCTTTAGCACCAGCAGAGAAGTCCACAGCACAGATGCTATCTTCTGTCTTGGCTTCTTTGTTTTGCCATCGTGGGATCGTGAAATTGGGCTTCGGGCTGCAAAACGATTTGCAGCGCCTGGCGGCATCCTATCCTCACTTGGAGTGTTTCAGGCGGATACTTGGCACCCTTGATCTGCAAGAAGTATTGATGGAGGCTCGGCGCAACAAAGGCCAAACGACAGGTTTGTCGGCTCTGTGCCTGGAGTTCTTAGGATCCCCGCTCAGCAAGCGCTTGCAAACAAGCGACTGGGGGGCCAGGCCGTTAAGTCGTGAGCAGCTGTCCTATGCGGCTCTTGACGCACACTGCCTCCTCCATTTGGCACGGAGACTGCACGCCTCCCCAGAATCTATAAGGACGTGCATGCAGCTTCAGGACCTCAAGGTGCAGCTCTTGGCGGGGAAGATGGTTGTCGGTGTGGGCAGCGATGCAGAAGAATCTTCGTCTCTGGCCGTCGAAGTGGAAGCCATCGCGAAGATCAGCCAGGACATCACCTTTAAAGGGGCAGAGATTCGTGCCATGAAGGCGGCTGGCAAGGCCGGACATGGATAAGACTAAACTGAACCACAGCACTTGCTCCGGTGTCAGACCCCGTGTTGAGGCCAAGTCGGCCTGGCAGGCAGAGGTCGCGGTCTTGCTGCAGCTCAAGGCTCGATTCCGCCAGCTGGTGGCCTGGCGGCAGCAGACAACACAGCGGGCACTCTGTTGTCTCTCTCTCTCTCTCTATTTCTCTCTCTATCTGTGTGTCTGTGTGTCAGCTTCAGAAAAAGGCCGAGCTGTGCCTGCTGAGGCTGGGGTCGATTGGGTCCCGCCTGTTTCGGCAGGCTAGCAACGCCAGGCAGTGTCCGGCCGTGACTGGAGAATTTGGCGACCCAGAGCAGCGGGACTTAGCAACAGTCCCGTCTGATTCCGGCGATCTCGGTGTGGCGGCCGCGAATGCCGCCGACGAGCGACGACGTAGGGGGTCACAAGTGCGCAGCAAGATCCAGCAAGCCTCCAAACTTTGGGGACCGCACCAACAGCCTGCTTGCTAGCTTTACCGTCAACTGTGACACTGTGATCTACGAGCAGCTGTCACGCTGTGAGGCAGGCGAACAAGAACTCCGAGTTGCAGCGGCGATGCGCTAGCAGCCGAAATGTGCATGCTTGTTTGGGTGTCAGTAGATCTCCGGCTTGACCAGATGATGATTTGCTTGTTTGGGATCGTTTTTGTTGACGTCGTCATAGATATTTCGGCAGGTGCAGTTGGCCAGAGGGCGGCCGACCGAACGTGTCCTTTAGTCTTCCTCGCTCGGCATTGATCAATAATCCTAACCCTGTGCAGTGGAGTGTAGAGATGAGGGGGGACATGCGCATGGTAAATATCAACAGTAGCAGAGCAAGCTGACAGAAAGAGCAAGCTTTGCTGAAACTCATCACTTTCCACATCATGTGCCGAGCTTAAACCACACCCATATCTGCAGACTGAATTGGTCACGTGTCAAGCCTGCAAGTTCCAACATTCGACTCCAGTCGTGTGAGGCGGCTACAGGAACGCCTTAGCTTGCGAGAATTATTCTGGCCGTCATTATTCCAGGGATTCGCGATCGCCAGTTATGAGGGCATTCCTGCCATCACTTGGAGTCTTCGCAAGTTCAGGTGAAGTTTGCGAAACGCCAACCTCAATATGGGGGACACGGAACTCTGCCCTGGAAGGTATATGCAAGGAAATCAGAGCTTCCGACTTCGGAGAACTCAACGTCCATGCTTTGTGCTGTCCGGACATGCCTGTGAGTTCAAGTGGCCTTAATGAGACATGGGAGCGGAAGAGACTGGTCCGACGAATGGCGAACTCATAAGAGATATGACACAGACGTACACGGACATACATAGTCTTGCACATGTACATACTTGCACACACATTTTCATTTAAAGCATCCCCGGCGCATTCCGGATAACCACCGTGACACGAAAGGACTATCAAGCACACCCAGAGGCTTCCGACAACGGATGCGCAAAAACTCAGAACTCGTACCGGGTCAGATGACTAGATGCCTCCCAGAATTTCGTTGAGGAAATTCGGAAATGACATGATATTCGTTCAGGGCTTAACTTGCTTTTTCACGGCTTACTCTGTTCTCGGCTTGAATTGCCGATGTTCCATGGTCTGCAAGCTTGAACTTCTAGCGTATCTCGGCTCGATGCAGATCTCAGTTTGAGCACAGGTACTCAGTGCAACGCACACGAGCAGGACTAGTGCATTCAGTCTCTCCATTCCCGCATGTAGATGCATCCAGCGTGTTTCCCAGCGCGTCACATGCAGCTGTCTACTGCAGTTCCTGCAGTGTTGGACTTGGACCGTCCTGGGAGGGCATATGGGAGAGACTCATTTGGCTCCGAACAGAGAAGCGCCGCGAGGTGTAGTGACGCAAACCTGCTCAGGACTATCTTGACAATTTCTTTGCCAGTCTATGTCGGTGTGCAGAGGAGGGGCTTAGGTGCTCTCGCGGGCCCCCGGTGCAGAGTCGCGGCGGGTGCTTCCAAGAAGTCCTCTGGCTCGCTCCGCACTCGGCTAATCAAAGGCCTCCGAAGCAAAGATGCCCCGGATCCCGTTGCCGAGTTTCGGGCCTTGCGAGACGATCCCTTGGCTTCCTGGTGCTTCTTGAATGATGCCCAATCTTCGCAACGAGCCGCGTTGGCTCTTGCCATAGCATTTCTGCCAAGCTTTGGGCTGGTGTCGAAGCTCTTCCCGATCGCCAGCGAGACCGGCGATCTGCTGCCCCGCAACATTCTTTCGGATGTCCTTTACTCGGCAAGCTTGGCCTGCAGCGTAGTTGTTGCAATCCTTCTATGGATTGGCTACAAGCAGGTGAAGGTTAATCAACTGCTCCGTGAGCGTTCAATCTACTTCGAAATTGGAGGAGGTGGCTACTACCTCAAGCAGAAAAGCAAAGATGCTTTGAGAAAGGATGCTCTCATCCAAAGATACGAGACAGCTCCCGGAATTGCGCGATTGCGCAGATATGTGCTCTCCGGGCTTGTTGCTGCTGTTGCAGGCACAGGAGCCGGCCTGGTAACGGGCGGGGAGATGCGTAGAATCGAGCAAGAAGAAGACGTTGACAATGGATTCGAATAAAAAAGCGACTGGAAGCCTGATTTTTGCGGTCCGTGGTTGA